TAATAATAATAATAATAATAATAATAATAATAATAATAATAATAATATAGGAAATACTCTCAATGCTCTGAGGGTCATTTGGAAGAATCCTTTCTTAGGGAGCCCCTAGAAGCCGAGAGGAACCTACGGGCCCAATTTTAAGTTTGTAGACTTCACGGTCCTGGAGATTTTTGTGAGGATGCGTGAAGGGGCCTTTCGCTTTTATACCTGTAGGTTCCAGGGGAAGGCAGGGAGAAACTGCTCACCTCCACGGGTCCTTCCAGGAGTACGGAATGGGTGTAGTCCACATACTCCCCGTCCAGAGAGTACATGCCGAGGGCTTCTGACCGCTGGGTGGCCCCAATCTGAGCAGAGAAAGGGGAAGGAAGCATCTCCACCGGTGTCCCATCCCCTCCTGGCCCGAAGGAGGCCTTCTCGGACTACCAATCGGCCACGGCGTGGCGTGGGAAGGAAGAGGAGGAGCCCTTATCGGCACCACCAAAACTGGAGTTGGAAGGTACCTTGGAGGTCTTCTAGTCCAGCCCCCCGCTCGAGCAGGAGACCCCAGGCCATTTGAGTCAGGATAGAGCTGGAAAAAGGTTGGCTGCTCTCGCTGTGAAGGCGTTTCCCTTTAGTTCTAGGTTGTTCTAGACCCCAGAAGTTCTAGCCCATGGAGAAGCCACAGCCTCCCGCGCGCATCACTTACCTTCTGGATCTTCAGGCACTTAATGTTGTCAAAGCACTTCTTGAGGTGGGGCTGGACGGCATCCGGGTTACGGGACTGGCCCAAGATCTCCAAGAGGTCATCGTTGGAGAGGAAGTAGAAACGGGGAAAGATATGGCGCTTGGTCTCCAAGTACATGTCCAGGGACTTCTGGATATCTTCTAAAGCGCTGTTCATTTCTACCAGCTTGTCCAGGAGTCCTGCGAGGGAGGAGCACAGAAGAGTCCAAAATGGCCTTCCCGGTCCTGTCCAAGAAACCTGTTCACCCCAGAGGCCTCAGAATCCTGAAGGCCTCCTACGATCTTCCGATCTCCAGAGCTTGAGGGTGGAGACTAGAAAAGTTGAGCACAAAGCGGACAGCGTGGTGGCCCGCCAGCGGCCGGTGGAGCTGGCGGCACAGTCGGACAGTGAGGAGGCTGCTGGGGAGGAACATGAGGCCAGTCCTGGAATCTGGGGAAGTTCTCGGACGAGGGCTCTGCGTCGGAGGCAGAGACGGGGCCAGGGCTGTCCGATATTTCCCAGCTGCCTATGGAGTCGGAGATCAGTGGGGAAGAAGAACGGCTGGAGCCTGTTCCCAGTGTGCGCATGCACAGAGCTGCCAGGAGACGGGAACAGCGAAAGAACAAGGGTCAACTCAGAAGTAAAGGCAGAGGTGGACAATGAATGGATCCTCCCAGAGGGAATAAAGAGGAGCGAAAGGGAAGGGGGCTTTTGCAGGAGACAATTAGTTCAATTCATTAGGGTGAAGATCCGTTCCTGTATTGATGCCAAGTACTGTCTGTTACAGAGTGGCGTTTGGAAGCCATTGGGCTGGCAACGCTCCGAGCCTGATAAAGGTCTGTAACTGTGAAGTATCATGCAAGACCGTTTGCCGGGACTTTGCTGGGGAGGAATTCCCTTGAACCTAAATAAAAGGGGTTTTATCGAGGAGTCGTCTTCGTGACCTTGGGGTGGTGGGGGGGAGAAAGCCTGGATCAGAACAGACAGAACTTCTCCCTCCGGGCCACGGACCCTCCCTCCACCCTGAGAGAAAGGAGGAAACAGGACACCTGGGTAGTGAGTAGCCCTCAGGGCGTTGTTGTCCTTCACAAAGCGATCCATGATGATCTTCCAGCTGCTGTTGATGTTGTCGAAGGAGGACGATTCCCCGGGCAGCTGCTTCCGGATATCTTCTCCCAAGAAGATGTTCTGGAGAACGGAGGAGAGATCGAGACACACCTCAGGGGTTCGCGGAAAGGGTCACCAGGTAGGTCTTGCTCGTGGCCGCCGCCACAGGGGTCTTCAGGGGCCCCAACCAAAGGAGACGATGGCGGGAACGGCCCATGCCTCCAAGGACGGGGGAGAAACCTCACCTCCAGATACATCCACTGCCTCTGGACGGTCAGCAACATCTCGATCACCTCCAGGATGAGCGAGAGGCAGCGTTCCCACCGGTCCACGTCCTTCTCGAAGGGCTTGACGAAACGCGACGCTTTCATGGTGGACAAGGCCACCTGGTTGTCATCCAGAGCCTGGAAGACATCCTCAGTTCCTCTGCAGAAAGAGAGTGCAGGACCTCAAGCGAAGGCCTACTACCAGTAGCTTCTGAGTCAGGTAGTTCCGGAGCCCACACAATTCGGTCAGCGAAAGACATACAACACCACGAGCTCGATCCCCGGGCTTCGCTACGAAACTACGTGGCGGGGCTTAGTTTTTTGGGGGGAGGGAAATAAGGGGGTGAAAATTTTTGCCTCTGCCTACCAAGCATCCATCGGTATTCATCTGGCTAGCGTCCTGTCAGTGGGTGAAAGAGTTGAGGGCTGTTTGGAAACTGAAGCAGTATTTGTTATGTGAGCAAGGAGGAGACAGCAAGGAGCCTGGGCGTGGCTTAGCTCAACTGTTCTGGACTAAAGTTGCTTGGTGCTGTGAAACTGAAATTCCTCTGCTTGTGTTTTGCCTTTGGAAGAGATTTCTTTCCAGGTGGGGAGTAGAACTCCTTAGCATCAGAGTGTGTGAATAATAATAATAATAATAATAATAATAATATAGGAAATACTCTAAATGCTCTAAATTAGTGAGCATCTAGAAGCCAAGAGGAACATATGGGCCAAATTTCAAGTTTGTAGGCTTTACGGTTCTGGAGATTTTATGGTGATGCGTGAAGGGGTCTTTCGTTTTTATATATATAGATTTACAAATTGTGCTTTCCATCTTAATTATATGCCTCATCCAAGCCAGGATAATTTTTTTTTTAAGGATTTCTATTAGTTGCAACAAGGTCTGCGACTTTCTCTGCACTTATGACGATGATGATATATATCTTTTCCAGGAAACGTGAATGCAGACGGTGCTACTACAGGTTGCGAGAAATCTACTCACGCCAGCTTGGTGGCAGGCCTTCAAATCTGGATCAACCTGAAGTAATATTTCTCAGCCATGGGAAACTTAAGACAGGTGGATATCAACTCCCAGCCAGCATTCCCAGAACTCAATTTCAAGTTTGTATTATATATAGATTCGTTCCCACTTTCCACTTCCAGAATTGTGGAACTCAACCTCCCTTGAACCAAATTCGGAGACCCCCCAAGGACACCAGAGAAGGATTCACCCAATAGTTTGTGAAGTCCGGGCAAGAGGGAAGACAGCCTTTAGCTACCCTATCTCAGTCCAAAACTATCCATGTTGTTCTCCCCAAAATAAGACTCTGTCTTATAATTTTTTTGCCACCAAAAAGAAGCACCAGGTCTTATTTTCAGGGGAAGTCATCCAATGACTAACCTCACTTGTGTTTGTTGCCCCCGGCCTCCTTTTCGCGATCAGAGGCCTTCCGGACCTACTGCTTCTGTGGCCGGCAAGGCTTTTCTGAAGGCCTCTGCAGCCGATAACAGAGTTCTGGATCGATCCAGAGCTTTGTTCTCAGATCCAGAGGCCTTCAGGAAAGCCTTGCCGGCTGCCGAAGAAATCGGCCAGCAAGGGGTGTGTGAGGCCTGGCTACAACCGTCCAAAGGTAAGTAGTAGGGCAGCTCCACTCCTTCCCATCCCCACCCTAGCTTAATTTTTTACCCGTCCACTCTGGAGTAGGCCGGATCTTAATTAGGGCTTATATTGGGTGCAAGTGTAAAATCAAGCTAGGGCTTACTTTCAGGGTAAGCCGTATTTTCGGGGAAACATGGTATTAAAGCTTTGATGATGGTAACCAGCATATGAAATTCCTTCCAGAAGCCAGCATGGCCATCGTAGGTTCTGGGGACAAAACCCCACCCAGATTCTTGGTTTTACGCTCAGGGGCAGCCAATGCTGGCCTTTATTGTAGAGTGTTGACCCGGGTATGTCCGAAACCCACCTCTCCATGATCGCGTGTCCGTCCTTCTCCCATTCCTGAACCCAACCAACCTACCTGATCCGGTGGTGTCCCTTGTCTTTGTAAGGCACAATGTCCAACGTGGTGACGGCCCAGGTCTTCGCGATGTTCTCAAGAGCCTGGGAGGGGAAGGGCAGGAGAACAAGTCAAGGGGACAGGCCAGGAGAGCTTCATGGGAGTCGAGGGAGACTCTCTCTGGGCTTCTGGAACCAATCCTCGGGCTCTCCTCCGAAGAGGCGGGAGTCCAAGAGAGCTCGCCATTGGTCAATCCAAACAGAAGAGGCTACCTGCTCGATGGCCAGTTCCTTGGTGGCTGAGGATGAAATCTCAGCAACCTTCTCCACGTGTTTGTCCAAGCCCAACTCAACGATGTTTTCCAGTCTGAAGTCCTCAGCTTCTTGATCGAACGTCCGAAGGACCAGATCCTTTACCTGGTCCCAGTGCCTGCAGGTAACCAGTTATGAATTAATTAATTGATTAATTAGTTGATGTCTTCTATCTCTCTCTCTCTCTCTCTCTCTCTCTCTCCATCCATCTATCTATGCATCTATCTATCTATCTATCTATCTATCTATCTATCTATCTATCTATC